TTATTCTTAAAAATTTTATTGAAAATCGTCGAAAAAATTCAATTATTTAAAAATTTTTTGATAAAATTCTTCATGAGAAGTCAATTTTAAGAAACATTCAATTATTCAATAAATTAATCATTTTTGTATTTAAATAATTGAATTCTCGGAGAATTTTCTGAAACCGTTTACATCTTAAAACCAAAATAATTGAGAAAATTTGCCTATTTATAATCTTGAAACTATAAATTATTCATGTTTAGAACTTAAGATTTTATACTCTAAATTCGAAAAGGTAAAGTTAAATCAAAAATAGTTCCAATACAAACGCGATTTTTATTTATTTAACAATTTATACAATTTATATTTTATAGATTGAAAAATTTATAGATACCATTTTTATTGTACAATTTATTGATACAATTTATAAAACAATTTATAGATTTTAGTAAAAAATAGACTGAAAGTATGGTTTTGTTGACTTAAATTTTTGAAAAGTAGAAAAAAAGCATCAGTAAAATTTTCTTCCCAATGCATGTTGCATTCATACACACACACTCATATGTTGGCATGATAGTATCACGTGAGTCAAGCAACGAAGGTCACTTCACGTGGGTGTCTTGTGAAAGTTTAAATTCCATAGATTCGTTCTTTTACTCCTTTTGTAATTTTCAAGGTCATACGTCGTTGTATCCTTATATCTATTTTTTTCATATACACTGCCTCTCATCCACATTGAGAGTCCAGCAGACATTTTTTACTTTCTTTTCCTTTTGGAAGCTATAAAATAAAATCGAAAGGATACGTTCGATTTTATTGGGAATATATTTTTAATGTCAATATAGCTATATACTCCTAAATGGATTACAATTTTGGGGAGTGGTGGTAAGCTTTTCTGAATTAATGAAAAAAGAAGAAAAAGAAGAAGAAGAAGAAAAAGAAGAAAAAGTAGAAGCCTAAAGAAACTTCTTAAATGCTATATTCCTTAGTTCTTACTTTTGTCGACGACTCTCTTCACATTTTCTTTCTCTTTAAAGACAACTTTTTTCATCTTCTTTCCGCATTTTGCTCCCAACTTTTGAAGCATTCGGAAAACGTTGGATGGATTATGTAATGGGCTCTGCAGATTGTTAGCGAAAAGTCGACTTCCCATTTCACATAAGCCTCTGTAATCATGAACATTTCTGGTTTAATGTTTGAAAGATAAGAAGTAACTTGATAAAAATGTTAATTTTACAAGTTTCAGTTCAAAGTGTAAAAATGTTGTAGAAAATGTAAAATAGGTAATTGGTACATAAGTATAGGAAAAAAAATATTTTGTCCATTCTTTTAGTGTTATTAATTTACTTACTGTAATTATAATTACTTACAATTATACATTAGTATAATTATAATTACGTACAATTATACATTGGCATAACTATAATTAATTCTAATTATTCATTAGTATAACTATAACAGGCTTCGCACTCAGCTACTAAAACCTACTATGTAACTTTTTACTACTTTTTTCACAATTTGCTACTTATTTGGATACTTTTTTTAAATTTATGACTCTAAAAGCTGCTTTTTTCTTTATTTTTTGGAGGAAATTTACATCACTTTAAAATATTTAAATTCGCTAATAGCTGAAATAAAAAAAAATTCTAAAAATTGTGATAAAATTATTTAAAACGATTCAATTCTGAAAAACTTTTCGAAAATCAATGATTTTTAATATCTATACAATTTTAATGAAATTCCAATTTTAATGAAATTTCACAAAAGATTTGATTTCTCCACTTGAGAACGTCAAGGTCACCACCAGATGTCAGTGGAAATTTCAAGAAGGAAAACTGACATCTAGCGCTGACCTTGGAGTTCGCAGGTGAAGAGTAGCGTCTCCATTTTGAATCTCAATTTGTTAGTAATTTTATAATTATTTACAATCAGAATTACAATTACCATTAGGGATTTTTTTAACGAAATAAGCATAATTAGTAACTTTTATAAAAATAGTAACTAAATAAATAATAAAATAAATGCTAGTAATAAATAATAAATATTGTTTAAGTAGGTAAAAGTCATACACTGTGTATATAGTCATCCAAGTCTTTAGATTCGTAAACTGTATGATATGAAGAAGCTTATTAAATACTCTAGACGTAGATATAGGAATATATTATAGAATCAACTTCCCCACTGAACATTCTTCTGCATGCATAATGTAAACAAAGAGTTATGTGTAAATAACACTTATAATTATGTAATTTGTATTCTCAAAGCATATAGATGATAAATTTTATTTTTTCCTTATTATCATTTTGTCAGTTCCATTGTAATTTTTTCTAAAGTGTATACGATTTTGAATGCAGCTTGAATTTGTCCACATTCTCTCATTATTCTAGTTTGTGATCCCTTTCATTCTTTTAAACCACAGATTTTCTAAGGATATCAAATTGAGATAAAAAGTATAAACTCAAACTCAAAAATGTTCTAATTTCTTTACGAATTTCTTTAATTGTAATTATTCGGTAATTTATTCAGAATTTTCACATGGATTCTAAATCTAAAATAATAAAAATCCTTGACTTTTCTATGACCAATTCTACTTTCCCTCATTTCCCCGATTTTTCAGACCTGTGGCAACTTTGTAATAATAATAAAGTGAATGGTTAATAAAAATTAGGGGCAAGCTTTGCACTTTATTAGACAGTAAAAAAAAAGCACGAACAATATGCTATCGAATCTCTAGAGCATTTCAAGAGCAATTTTTTTTCGAGAGAACAAAAAAAAGTAGCTTTTAGTCGCACAAGAAAGAGCACGATAAACTTTTTTAATGAATAACGAATTATCAATTTGATAGAACGTCACTCTTATGTTGGAACTTTATCAGCATTAAGCATATGCTATCGTGCACAACTACTACCAATGTACACATAGTGATACTGTGAATGCAAAGGGGAAATTTAATCCGATTTCCGTTGTTGATGGGATAACAATTGATTGTTAGTAGCGTGTCACACTGACAACACACTAACATCGATATCGCTAATGTGACAAGTGTGTCGATCACCAGCTTTATTCGAACTAAGGTCAATAGACCTTAGTGTGTTGTGCTCTGGCCCCACGAACTGGTTTTGTAAAGGCCAAGATCTGGAACGTGGCCTTCATTCCCGCAATGCTGCAAGTCGAGAAAAGAATTTAATGGGGTTATTACTGTAATTCGACAAAAGTTTTCATTTCACGAGAAAAACAACTCACGACTTTTAAAGAAACAAAAAAAAAAAGAAAAAGAAGAACTTGTTTTAATTACTTCTCGCAAACACGTTACAAATTTCATCTGAAGGGAATTTTAAAATAATTTTTTTCAAAGATTTGCGGGAAATATTATTTTTACTCATAAGTTTGGTGAAGTTCATAACGTTTTTGATCCAACGATTAAAAGACAGAAATATTTTTTACGCAGAACTTCTAAAAGAAGTAAAAACATTAAAACATAAAAATAAAAAAAACATTTTTTGTATAAATTAGAAGAATTTCCTCCTGTTTGTTCCATAAATGAAAAATTTTACAATACTGTATCTAAATACCTATCTAAATACAGAAGAGAAAAGCAATTATTATTTTTATTTTGCGAATTTTTATTTTTAACAGTGCATAACTGAAAGTCTTTTTTTTTCTCTCTCTATGAAAAACGAAATTTTTTCTAAAAAGATACGAGGTCAAAAACTCGGAACAATAATTTTTTAGTTTTAGTCAGTTTAACTCTAAACTATAACACAATAGACAACATTTTATTATTTCCCATGAAATACTCTACATAAAATGTAATTTAAATTCGTTGACCGTTCCAAATTCATATGGCAAATGATACCATTTCCTTTTTGCCACACTCTCGCACAATCAACTTGGTTTTTATTTTTCATTGCATCAAAATTCTATTTTTGGTCTGCCCACTCAATTCTCCATTCGATATTCTACTCGTCGTTTTTTTTTTTTTTTTGTTCATCACTTTATATTTCATAGTTCATTCTGCATCATAAATATTGATTTTCAAAAAAATGAAGAAAAAACAAACAAAAAACTATTTTTACAAAAGATTCTCTAATTGAAAATATTGTGGAATAAATTAAATCTATTTTCTACATAGATATCGTTTTTTTCGGTAATTAAAATTATTTCCAAACGGAAATATTTTCAATTTTATTCTGTATCGAATGATAAAGCTAATTGAAGGGAATTTTCTCTCTTTCGATATAAACTCTATGTAGAATTTAAGGGATTAAAAGTTTATTTATTTTCTATTTATTTACTTTTTAATACAACTATCTAAATTTACAACATTTGAAAAGTTATTTTAACTTTTTATTCATTTACCTTTTTTTTCTTTACCTTTTTTATTGTAAAATTCATGTAACCAAAAAATGTTTATTTAATCATTATTATTTATTCATTATTTATATTAACTTATTATTTTCTTAAATTTGCTAATTTTGTAATATAAATATCTAAATTTTAAGGGAAAAAAATAAAAATATTAAAAACATTACATTTTTGAAGTGAAGTGTACGAGATATTAATCTCACATAAATTATAAAAAGTGGAATGACATTTTTCAATAAAAGATGGAAAAGTTTATGTAAATATTCTACTATTCATTTTTGATTTCAAGTGAACTGAATTGTTTTGGTACAAATGCTGTAAATCTCATATGCTGTTTCGCGCTCCAGTTGATAATGAATTATGCAAATCTAGGCGCTTGACATCTGGCAATGAATTTTGAAAATCGGTGTTATATGTTACTGGAAAAGAGAGTACAAAATGATCATTAAAAAAAAAAAATATTCTTGTGATGAATTGCAAATTGTTCATTTCACAAATTAGTGATCATCTGTAAATTATACTATGTAAAAGCGAAAAATAATTATAAAAAACATTAATAAAATATAAAATAATGAGAAAATAGTAAAAAAATAACGATATTATAAATAATTTAATAATAATTCTAATTTAAGGAATTTTCTTTCCGTTTGTTTCAGCTTCAGGTGAGTTAAAAGCAACATACTGTCGATCTTATTTCGTAAGTGAATATAATATATATAATTATGTATTATAAGTAAAATATAATTATCAAAGAATTTGTAATTTAAAAATTCTGATTCGTATATTTATCGAAACAGTCCAAGGCATGTTATTTTAAATAATATCAATAATATTATTAAAAATAACTAGAAGAAAAATCTTTTTTTTTATAATTTAACTCCCCTTGAATTTTTCAAAATTGATTTAGGGAAAAGTTACAATTCTGTTAATTAGTATAGGCTAATTTTTAGACTTTATACAGGAATGCAAGAAAAAGGAACATCTTCCTTCTGTTTTGTTGGATAATAAAGTGAAATCACTCATGATGATCTCACCTCATGAACCGATAGCAAAGCAATATTTAAAAATCATTAACTTACTAGAGAGCTACATACACAGCTGTATCCTTACATAAAACCTTAAGCTTTCCTTTCTTACAATCATTATATAATCAAATATTTACTTTCAGTAGTTTGAAGCGATTCAATAATATTAATAAATTAATACTTAAAGAGCAATTTATCACAATGAATAATCAAGGAGATTTGAAAGATATTGTAAATTCAATTAAGCGTATATACTTAATATAGACGAGGCTAAAGAATAGCTATAGACATGTTTGTATGTAATAATATATTTATTGTCAAAAGGTAAATCTTGAACTAAATTTACACACTTTCAGTGTTTCGGTTTACCTTAAGGTTTCTAGAGTATAAAGTCATATTATATCCATTATGTAATTATCTAGCATTGCCATGGTCGGCCATTCACATGGCAATGCTATATAAGACTCTCGCTGCAACGTGAATGTACAAGTAAATAACTCGGATTATATTCGAAGCTATATACACACTAGACTTGAATTTATCTCGCAATTCATATAAATACTTGAGAGAAACTGTAATGCATCACAAAGATGTTCCCTTCCATTGGAACTATATATTATTGAAATAATTAAATATGACAATTCACTTTCGAGACTTACACACTAGGCCCTAAAATTATTCATTTATTCATGCTAATGATGATTCAATTATAAATCTATTATCTATATTTGTTCTCTTGTACTTTTGGTTATCTTTATGAATTTCTGTGCTACGGAAATTTGTCCAGGGAAAATAAATGTAAATGTTCTCAATTCTTTGTGGTTCTTTCTTCGGTAATAAAATTAATAAAATATTAATTGCCAACAAACTTAAGATTCAATATGGAGACGCTACTCTCCACCTGCGAACGCCAAGGTCACCGCTAGATGGCAGTTTTCCTTCTTGGAATTTCCACTGACATCTGGTGGTGACCTTGACTAGTTCAATTACATTTATTTACGAATTTTCTTTAATTGTAAAATTATTAGAAAACATTAAAAATTTATTTTCTAAATAAATATTTAATTTTTACTTTTCCGTGGAAATAAAAATATTTCAAAATATTCAAATTCGAACCATTTTGAAAATCGGTATCTTATCAAATATTATAATAAAACATGAAGAAATCAATCACTCCTAGTCTTCGACTCGGAGCAATCGATATCTTCGTGTTTTATAATAATTAAAGATAATCGATTGATAAAATCATTATTTTATAATATAAAAATATTTTTTATTGTGACTTTTTCAAAATTATTTTCATCATTTGAATTCAATCATTATTTTCTAGAATTTTTAACTGAAATTCTATTTTAAATCAATTATTTTTAATAGTTTTAGAAATAGTTGCTTATTGAGAACTTACAAATTCATTTGTTTACAATTCAATTTTACGAAAATTCGATTATTCGAAAATCGTTCAATTAAATATGTATTAGAAAATGATAACTTAAAATAATTTCAAAAAAAAATTCAATTTAACTTTTTCAAAAAAATTAATTCTACAGAATTGTTAATTAAAAGAATGAAAAATTCAAATTTTCATAGATTTTAATTTAAAACATTTTCAAAATTTAATTATTTCTAAAAATTCATGCTATAATGCTTTCAATATTGAATTATAATGTCAAATTTTAACTGAAACTCATTTTTAAATTAATGTTTGAATAATTTAATTCCTGAGAAGAATTTTAATATTTATAAAAATAATTCAATCCTTATAAAGAATTTTAATACTAATAATTTTTAATAATAATTGAATTATTGGACAGAATATTATTATTTTTAAAAACAGTTAGATTTTTGAGAAGAATTTTATTACAATTTTTTTTTTTAAAATGGAATTTTTGGTAAGAATTTTATTATTTTTGAATGTAATTGAATTCCTGTAAGAATTTTATAATTTTTTACAATAATTAAAGTCTTCAGAAAAATTTTATTTGCAATTTTTAAAATAATTGATTTTCTGTACAGAAGATTATTATTTTTAAATAGGGGAGAGTGGGGCAAAATGGGGTACCTTTTTGAAATTGGCTGTTTACAGAGAACCAAACGAATAAATCGATTCAGCTAAAGTTCAGAATTCTTCTTTGTACACTTAGCTTTGAGGAAATTATGATAATAGCGGAGAAAAAAATTTTTGAAAGAACTTATATCGTATTTTCTGAGAAAGTGCTAAAATCCCATTTTGCCCCACCCGTGGGGCAAAATGGGGTGGCATCAAATAACTATACAAAACATTGAATATTTTTTCAAAATTCATTAAATTCTTGTTGTATGAGATTATAAATACAAACACAAAGTAGGATTCTTTATTACTATGAAAAAACAAGTAATATTTATTAGAATTTAACAAAAAAACATGGATATTGCAAAATATCGATATATCGATTATTAAACATCGAGAGTATAAATGCTTGGAAACAAAAATATCGATTCTTTTGCAGGAAACCTTTAAATATGCATAATATAATGTTTTTAAATAGTTTTAATGAAGCGGCGTAGCTTCCGGCATGCCCCACACTTAGGTACCCCATTCTGCCCCACACTGCATATTAAAACAAAATGCAATGTTTACAAGTTATTGTAAACAATTAAACAATCTATTCTATTGGAAATTACTCTAGAATAAGTACTGAAAAAGATCCCACACTTGACAAATTAAATGCATTATCCCAAAAAGTTTGGAGAGCACTTTAATTTTGAAAAAAATTCATATTTTTTTTGCTTAAAACTTAAAAGTTGTATAACTTTCAAAAAAAAATTTTCTTTGGAGTGTCTTCATAATTAATAACAGTTTCTTATCAACATTAATGATATATGTCGAGGAAAAAAAAATTAAAAGTACCTATCATGGAAAAACAGAGGTACCCCATTTGACCCGCCTACCCCATTTTGCCCCACTCTCCCCTATAATTGAATAGAGACGAAACATTTTATTAGAATTTTTTAAAAATAATTGAATTCTTGTAAAGAATTTTATTATAATTTTTAAAAATAATTGAATTCTTTAGATCACATTTATTGCAATTTATGAAAATAATTTAATTCCTGCCCAGAATTTTATTATTTTCGATAATAATTGAATTCGTTTGGAGTATTTTATTGCAATTTTTTGAAATAACTGAATTCCTGCTCACAATATTATTATTTTTGAAAACAATTCAATTTTTTAGAAAATTTAAATTACAATTTTAGAAAATAATTGAATTCCTATGTAGAATTTTATTATTTATGAAAATAATTGAATTTTAGTAAGGAACTTATTTAACGATTTTTTTAAAAAAATAATTGAATTCGCTGAATGGTATTACAATTTTTGAAAATAATTGAATTTTGTAGAAAAAGTTGTTTAATTATTTATAAACATAATTAAATTGAGATCAAAAATTTTATTACAATTTTTGAAAATAATTGAATTTTTGTGAAGTAAGTAAATAATTAAATTCCTGCAATTATAAAATTTTAAAATGTTACCTTATTTCATTGAAGTTCATCTACTTACGAAAATTGTAAACGCTGCTTTTTCAATTTCAATTAATTTTAATGTATTTAAGGAAAATTGTTCATTAAATAAAAAGTATAATAATTTTATGTTAGTTTTTAAAGAATTAAGTTATTTAAAAAGAAGTTATTGTCAGAAGTAGAAAAAATTAATGGTTTAGTATTAGAATTCGTGGTAATTATATGAGGTAAATAAAAAAGGCACCAAAATTTAGAATTTTCTTATGAATTCTAAAAATTAAATTTTGTTCCCAGTACTATTAATGAAAATCCCTGACTTTCCCCTGAATTCACTAACTTCCCTGACCTTTGGCAACCCTGTTGACGTTCACAAGTGGAGAAATTAAACCACCTCAAAAACTCTGTTGTAATTAAAAAAATGCTGTTTTGAATTGAGAGTAATTAAAATAAGCTTCTGAGGGGTTAATTTCTGAATGAGAAATAAAATAAAAAAAAATGACAAACTGCGTATAAATGAAAGAAACGATGATAAACCAAAGGAGAAAAAAAGTTGGTAGTATCAGTGTTTTTTTTCCTCATTGCAAGAGATTAACATAAATTGCAGTGTACGACAAATTCTTTGAAAGTCATGAATAAATCCCCGGAAGCAGGAGAATCGTTTTCGAGCGGAAAAGGAAATCGTGAAAACGCGTTGCTCCGTGAAGAGAAACGTTTACGTTGCAGCATCGAACTTGGCACCCTTCTGTGAGACTGTATCCTTGAAAATAAGATGGAAGTCTTCGCCGACGGAAGTAGAGGCTAAAGAGCTGAACAAAGAGAGGCAAAAGTATCTGGCAAAACTCCGCGGGGAAACACGTCAGCTGTGGTGCCAGGTGGATAGCATTTCGCAATTTATTGGACGAAATGGTAATGGAATTCTAGTTAGCAATATCGACTCACTCCCACCCCTTTTTTTTCCCCATTTTACCTCTCGACAGAATTTTCTCTACCCTCTTGGCTTATCCCCTCCTCGAATCGAGCAAATAAATCGCCAGCATCCTCTTTCTCCAACTTGGGAGTCCGATAATTTGAACATAAATTTTCGATCAATTGAAATAAAAACGAAAACTATAATCGAGAAACTTTTAAACAAT